ATCTTTACCAAGGTACCAAAATGACTTGTAACCATTATTTGTGAGCATAATATTTTTTCACATCTTTACTGTGTACAGGGCACTGCATAATTAGCCACTGATATATAAGAAGATAACAATTGCACAAATAATGAAATACTTTCATAATACTGATGAAAAAACGGACATATATTCCTACCAGCTTTAAGGGGCCTAACCAGGAATTTTCAAAGGGGGGTTATGAAATTTCTTAATTAAACGATGACAGCTAGTGTGTCCGACCAGAAAACAAGGGTGATCAAGAGTCTTAGGGCAGGGCTACTCAACTGGCGGACCACTGTCCGAATCCGGACCTTTCGGGTATTCGATTCGGACCGCACATAATTCTTTATTTTGGATCATTAGCCCCACTTTTGATATTTCCTTTTATAAAATCACTTTTATAGTTTTGAAAATATATATGAAAAGAACTATAATGCCATAACAAACAATCTTAATTAGCTAATAATCAATAGTCGGCAGAGGAATTGCATGTTTAAGGATGCCGAAATATAATTTCTGGAAAGTCCGGACCCAAATATGTTTGAAGTTTAGTATGCGGACCTTTGGTAAAAATAGTTGAGTAGCCCTGTCTTAGGGGTCTAAAATGTTTCAAGTTACGAAAAATTGCTATGTATTTTACAGCAAAATCTGTTAAATTTTAAAAACTATGATCCTCCCAGCTCTCTGCATATGAGTTTATTGTATCGAGCCGAAAATAATAATAAAATAAAAAATTGTAAAAGTAAATTTTATATTTTAACATCGACACTCATACAGTGAGTAAGTACACAAGTAAATTTGCTGGAGAGGTTAAACACAAGGAAAGTATAGTTTCCATATTACATATAAATAGAGAATAATCTTCAGTTACATTGCGGTCCCACCCTTCTTCCTTTACTCTAAGTGTGTCTAATGCCACTAATCTGACACTCTGGGAAGAACTTTACTAGTGATCGAGGTGTTGGATTACAAATTAAACATTTTTGTCTCGACAAATGTAAAGAGACTTTTTGCTATATTTCTCTCTTTGAATATTTTGAAACACTTCATTCCCCTCACATTCATGAAAACTTTGTTTGTTGTGAAGCTGTTATTTCTAAAACAATTTATTACTAAATTATTATCCAATAATTTGGTTCCTCCACGCTATTACAAGTGAGTGTTATAATGTTGTTGCATTATATACATATAAATTGCACAAATCACAACAAGAGTAGAAAAATGATGAGTAGGTAACTTCACAGAACCTTAATTGCAAGATAGTACACTTTAAAACTGTTCATAGAACTTCAATTGATACCTCTCCCACCAAAAAATACTGTCCAAACTAAACCCCATACCCAAAGTCTACACTTTCTAAGACAGCATCAGGTTACTCATGATGGGGAGGCGACTGGCAAGATTTTCGAACAAGTCTTTTCCATTAGTCATTATGTTAAGACTGATATGCCAATTATTTGCCAGAAACTCTCCAAAATATTTTAGAAACATTAATTCCAAAAGCCAGACTGTGGGGTTGTAATGTCTTTTCAGTAAATGCAAACAAATTACACTAATGCAACAGGATAGAAGTTTAAAAAAATTATCCACAGAACCCTTTTTGCTAGATCACCATTTTTTAAAACAGTTTTTGGATACTTCTTATTTCAAAATACTAGTCAAACTTAATCCTGTCTATATCCAAAGCCTACGTCTCCCACTGCATCGAGTTACCAAATGTGTCCTTAAATACATTTAGTCACTAATTTAATACTTGGGAACACTTGCTAATGACTTCAGGATCATGTTACAGCATTTCCTGAATGTCATCTCATATTCTTGCCATCCCTGGCAAAGTGATGGTCGTTTTATTTTATTATTTGGAGTAAAGGATAATTTGTTAGTAACTGTCTGCTATAGCTAAATAAATTTTAGTTAGTAAATTGGCAATTGTTCCCATTTTAGTGCACTTGTCTTACTGCTACACTTAGCTCTTACTATATCTTTGGTCGCCTATAACTTTGCTCAGCTGTGAGTCTCCTTCATCCTTTATTTCTAGGTGTGCATGATTTGCTGTGAGCCAATCCTCTTGAAAATAAATTTTAACCCCCTATTCCGAACTGTCTTTGATATCTTGATACTGGTATGAGATATCTAATAAAAACTTAGATAAACCCGCGTTATCGAACTTATCATGAAGCTAAACTCAATCTGTTGCTCAATGTACTATATTGAATAAATCAAATTTGCAATGTATTCGAATGTCCAATTCATTCTAGATACCCCTATTTCAATTTCTACCACATAGCACTTGTTAAGAAACAATCTCAAATCACACCTCAGCTTTAAAAATACTTCACTAAGCCTCGTGTTTTGTTAACTGGCTAACGTAAATAAACATTTACCGCTGATGTAAAGCTTATAATGGGTCACACTTCCCCTGTCAATGTGTTATAGTGTTGATATAAGACTAAAAGGGCTTTGTCTGAGTGATTTGAAAATAATTGCTTTTATGGGGTGGTTTTGCATAGTCGCTCTATACAAGACTCCAGACAAGTTTGATGAAGAGCTAATTTTAAAATATTCAGGAAAATTTGTTATTTTACTTGTGGTTTCGTTAAATTTTTTATCTCTAGTTATGAGTGTCTGTAAAAGACAAGGTTGTAGATAAGTATATCTTTTAGGAAAAAAAATAGGTTCAAAATATTGAGGGATTTTGTTAGTTTGGATGATGGCTCGGCTAATATTCTAATCCTTTGTTCTCTCTGAATACGGATATAGACAAGTAGGCACTTAAAATTTAGTGTTCATCTAACTACAATGAATCCAATTGAGATTTCCTCGACCTTTGATCTCTAAAAAATAATCTCTCTAATTTACTATTGCCAAATTTTTGACACTTATTTTGAGAGTATTTTGGAAAGTTTAAATGGAGAAATGGATTTCTAGGGCAACATTTTTAGGTCAGATGAATATATGCGTATAAATTAATTAAGAATCTATGTCTTACTGCAAATGCCGCAAAATTGCTTAAAAAAAAAGTTGAAAATTTGCAGGGGGATCTTGCCCCCTCAGTCTCCCCTCCTGGCTACGCCTATGGGTGAAATGTCTAATCACTGTCTTTCAGCCCCTGGTTCTGAATTGCTATACCATATATCACTACTATACTTAGTAAACATTGGGAGTTATGGTGATTGGTGCCGTGGTTTCTAACAACGCTTAGGAATACTTGGCTTATCCTCAATCAAAACATTTATCAGGAAGTGGCAATGCTGACCTCTGAACTTCCTTGTTAGAAAAATATTTTGTCAGTTTTGTTAGGGAAACGTGAATTCTGACAAGAGCACTTGTTCTCAATGTCTGGCTAACACACGACTTGACCCTAACTATTAAAATAACATTTCTTTGTCAAGAAAAACATGCCTTCCTTTGTTACTTCCTCGAAGGGTCATCCCAGGGTCAATATCATGTTGGATTCACACCTGTGTTATATTCCATTTGTACAAAAGAAATTCTGATTGAGTTTTTACAGGGCCATCTAATAGATACTGTTACTGACAACTAGTTTCTAATGTACTGCACATTATTCTTGACAACGTATAAACAAAGTATTTGGTAGAGTTAGAAAATATAAAAAAGTTTTTTGATGAAAATAAATTGGCAATTTTCGAATTATACCTCAATTCATTCAATGTGTATTAGCCATGCTTTTTATATTAATACCTCCAAACTTATTCAATGGAAACTACTAACACAGAAAAACCATATGTATTAGAAACTTCCCATTCATGGCCAATGAAAATCATTTGAAATAGACACTTCCGATTTTTAGCCAATCGAAAACCTTAGCCAGTGAAATAAGGAATCAGTAGGAAATAATTCTGAGTAATAGTTTGTTTCTAATGAACCTCCGTGACCTGACTGAGTCCAAAGTAATTTCCTTCTACAGTCATAGAATTGTGATGACAGCATTTCCGTTATGTCTTCTTGGAGGGTTTTTCGTAAACAACTTGGCATTGGTGTGATGGGCTAACCAGACAGGGCAGGCCTTCGCTTCTTGTTTATAGCAGTAGTTCTGAAACTTTATAACCGTTTTTGGTATTTGTCAAGACTCGCGCCTCTCCTCAGAAATAACTAGCTAACAATAAGCTAAAATAACAAATAGTAAGGCGAAAGTAATATAACAGATAATAAAAATAACAACAATCACTACAGCTCTCTGCAATCTCTAAACAATAAAGAAATGTAAATATAAGACGGGCAAAATCCAAACTAATGAATAATTATCTCCATGCTCCCCCTCAAGTAATTGTCCACACCCCTCCTGTGGGCCACGCCAACCACTGGTTTAATAGTGAAGGTGTGAATATGTTTTATAAAAACAATCAGATGAGCAGAAGACACACAGTTGTTTATAAAGTAAACTTTCTTCGTACTTGTGCACTTAAATCAATGCTGATTTTTCTCCTGATTATTGAATTGGGTAGTTTTCTATCCACGTGCATGGCCAAATAGAAAATATGCAAGTCCGTGCGTCTGAAAACAAAATAATAACTGATGAATTACACCCATATCCGTCATGGATCGGTAATCGGACGAGAAGCCGGGGTCATTAATTCGTCTTATCGGCTTTCCTATTTCCCTAGATATGTGAATTCTATCCTAAATATATTTGAATTTCTCATCCATCTCTCGATACTCCCGGAGTATGTGAACCAAGATGGTAGAGACCAGAAATCAGTATGTGTACCAGGTTTGGGTCAGGCCGTAATTGTATTCCAATTTTCCTTATTTTAGTTCTATTACGAGTTCGGGTATTAGCCAAGTGACTCCCGTAGTATTTGTACCTGAAATTATGGCCTAACCCTAACATGGTGCACATACTACATTCCGGTGTCCGCCATCTAGGTTCACATTCTTTGGAAGTACCCATCTCTCAACTGAATCAGAGACTTGTTTACCAATGGTAGGATAATAACATTTGCAAATTTTTATTACAGGCTCATTCATCACCCCCTCTCATCTCAGCTGAACGGATCATGGCGGGATTTCGAGCGCGAAATCATGTGATCGCAGACAGAATAGAGGAAGAAGATGAGGTAGATCATAGATCCTTTGGAATTGATGGTGATGAACCAGGAAGTGACCCATATAACTCAAACCAGGAAGCAGGAGATAAGAGTGATAGAAGTACTGCTTCTAGGAAAAGGGAAGCTTTGTAAGATGTTAATATTTTTTGAAACCATCTTTTCTGACCTTGTTCACCTATAAACTAGCAGAAATTTTTGCTAATACTAGTTAAGCGGATAGCCCTAGCTATTTTTTTTTGTTATGAGAATTTGCCCAAACCAATGTCACGTATACTCACTCTGGGGTAAGGTAGACTTATCTGCAAGTACAGTTGCGGGAGACTACTAAGAGCTACTGGAACTATATAGGGCAGTGGTTCCCAAACTTTTTAGAGTTGCGACCCACTATTTATTACCACAGCTTATGGCGACCCATTTAACTTTTTATGACATAACAAAGAACACAGCAATGGCTAATCATCGCAAAACTACCGTGTTTCCTCGAAAATAAGACCTGACCTGAAAATAAGACCTAATTTGAATTTTAAAAATGATTTTAATTGAACCCTTCCCTTAAAATAAATTCAAAATGTGTGGGAGAGGAATGGTTCAATGACCTGAGGTGGAGATCACACCACTATTTAAGATTGTGTGATGTCACAATCACAATTATGATATTTGTCACTTGATTTTTGTATAGGAAATACAAATAATAACAATAGATGTCGGTTTTTATATAAAGTTTATTAAAAAATCTCGTTATCTACCATGTAATTTTATTTTTGATGAATGAACACAAAAGACCTCTTCCAAAAAAAACATAGTGTTATTCTTCAAAAGAAAATAAATCTAAATCCTGTCTAAATTTCGGGGAAACACGGTATGAAGTGCTGTGCAGTGTACAAAACTGCTATGCGTAAAAACGCCACATGGTCATTCTTTGTGTAGCATTTTTTTTTGTTTTTCGTTTCGACCCATAGTTTGGGAACCGCTGATATAGGGTATTTATAACAAACACTATGGGCAAGCTAGTAAGTATTTGATTGAGACTTCGGATCTTTAACCTTTAACATCTTGCGTCCTGAGCTTGACGAAGCCAGGAATTTTCAAATGGGGGTGTTCTGAAATTTCTAAGTTGGACCGAATCAGCTCTGAAAAACTTGGGTTTTCAAGAGTTCTGACCCTCAATCCATGACCCCAATGGATATGTCCCTGCTTCTAGGTACTAAGTTTTAATCACGAATCGTCAGAACAATTTACTACTCCTAATATGCTTGGAAACAATATTTGGTTGTTATCTCAAATTGAGTCGTTCCGAACGTCAATTCTAAAAAAAGCATCAGTATTGAAAATTACATTCCTTCCTGTTCAGTTTATCTAAATATTAAGTTTGAATCTAAATATGATAAGTTTTTAAATGAAAAAATCTTGAGTTATTTCTAAATCCATTGCATTCATGTATTTTACCATTCTATTATATGTTCCAGCATTCAACAGCACCAGTGGAGAATTCCTTCTGCAAGGAAGCAAAGTGGCCCAAGCTTTGATCAAGATGAAAAAGGTACATTAAATTTTTGTTTGCATATGATTTCATTTTAGGGCGGGAGCAGATCTTTGACCTTTGAGCCCAATGCTTTTACCCAGGGTTTCCCAAACTTTTTGGGACCCCTATTCCACAACTGATGGGACAAAGTTACCTGAAGGTTATTACTTTGTTTTTTTTTCAATTTTTCTGGTGTTCTACAGGCCCAAATTTACAACCTGGTATCGGGGCCAGTTGTAAATTTTTTTCTCCATCTACGCAGGTCTTGCACAAGGTCAGAGCCTGGTAACTGCACAAGAAACTGTGGTTCATCATGTTATTTTGCCAGCTTATCTTTAATAGGACCTTATACTTTTTTTTCTCTTTTCCTACAAGTACGTTGAGTCAGAGCTCAGTGTTCCTACGAGGCCCGATATCTGACTCCAAATTATGGGATAGATATGTTGCTAGACTCCTCGCCATCGTAGGGCGGTTCACGTAAATCGCTGGTCAGTTACGACTTCCCCAATCATCAAATCCATGCATACGAAAACAAATAACAGGCTAACTAATTCCATACCTGGCATGGACATGTAACTGGACAAGAGGGCAGTGGTTTGCCATATGATTAAGCCGCCTTATCGACATTCCTCTCCATCGGGATAAATATGTAAATCCTATCCTAAGTGTAAGATACTCACTCATCCAAGTTTTTATATTTCTTTTCTTCAAAACCCCTATTCTTTTTTCTCTTTCTATAGGTAACATTGACACAGAACTCAATGTTCTTCGAGAGAGCACAGTGTTATCAGTAAAGAGATTAAAAGACTCAGAACTTCGAGCTCAGAATTCAAACAATAAAATACGAGAACTGTCAATCAATATTAAAATGAAAGAAGAATTGATTAAAGATCTTGTCAGGACAGGTAACATGAATTAGATTTTGTGTTGTGTTAGATTTTGTGTTCACTTTGTATTGAAATCATTTTGTGAATATTGTTTTAAACTGTGATTGATATCACCTCAATAAGAACCTATATATTTGTTAAATTTTCAAACAAAATTACTGACAATTACTGATTAAAAAACAACAAACCTGGTTAAGATATATTGAGAACTGACTTGAAAATATTGATAACTGACAAAATTCAAATTGTAAAGGGACTTTATGGACAACTTACTTATTCCCAATATTTTTTCTCAGGCCATGATGCAGAGGCAGTGAATCGTGATTACTTGACGAGGATACTAGTTCTTGAAAAAGAAGTTCAGACTGCGAAACGTGAATTACTGGATTCACATAAGGCTTTGCAAAATGGAGGGAGTGAACAGGTCAGTTAAATTTTATTTGACTTTGTTTAATGAAAGGGCCTAAATTTGCGTTTTGCCCCCTCAAATCAACTCTATCGGTTTTAGCATGTTAGGTACCTTTACAATTTAATAAAAATTTAAGACTTCAGGGACACCTTATATAATTCTAAACAGTGAATTTTGTATTTGATTATTCTTTTATTCTGACAAACTTTGTTTTGTTTCAGGAACTTCTAAAACTGAAAACTGATTATGAGCAGAAGCTGAAAGGCGCAAAATCCAAAGTCCAGGTAAATGATCTCTTGCATCGGTTTCACTTTCGGTGTCACTAGACATAGAAATTTTGGCGCTCCAGAAGTCTGTGTACCAATATGGAGTTAACTAATTTTGTTCGCCTACTTTACATCAAGTTGTGTAAAGGGACTGAAACCTATGGGCAGGGGGATATTCACTTGGCTAACACAGACAGTCCCCAAATTTGTAATAGAACTAAAAGAAGGAAAATCGAAATAATATTATGGCCTAACCCTAACCTGGTACACATACATTGGCATTGTTGGCCTTTCCAACCCAATTTATTTCACCCTGGAATGTTGTATAACTTACATTCCTGACCATTTTTATTGTCAACAGATGCTTCAGAAAAAGCAGAGAGAAACTGAGAGGATTGCAACCATCCCATCTCAGAATAAAAAGAAGATTAAAGAACTGGAAATTGGTATGATCTTCATTTTTTTTCAATTTTTGGATTCTTCAATTGTGGAGTTGTTAGGCGTAAGAGAATGATGCTCTTGTAGGAAAAGCCGGAGTCTTTCTGGTTCATCATTGCCCAACCAATTCTACCCTGTGTGAGATGACTGGAATTTGATTTCTACCTGAAATCTGTATCCTGAGACCTTAACACATCGACCAACAACTAGGGATGTCCAAACTGAATCGAATATTCAAATACATTCAAAATTCATTATGTTCTATAGTAAATTTTTCAAATTCAGGGATAATTTGGAATATTTTTATTTGAAAATATGGGATTTTGAGCCATTAGACAAGCAGATCGAAATGTACAATATCTTAAATGGAAAGAAACAGCACAGAAAAAACAATGAACTTTATGTCTCTGTCATTTTAGATCAATGATCAACATAAAGATATAGTGATTTATGTCATTTTCCACATGAACTTGCCCCAAATTCAGGATGTATTCGATATTCAAAAATATTTTTTCAGAATGTATTCGGAATAGTGAAATATTCGGTTTTAGCCATCCATGGGACCAACATTCTAATCACCAGGCCATTGCATCCACCACAGCTTTCAATGCCATGATAACCTATGTGATAACAACTCACTTGTTTCAAAACTTTCAGGATCTTTTGTCCCATCCCAAACACTCTCGTGGTTTCTAGTACGAAGCACATGATAATTTAATAACATCCCAGAAAAATGCATCACATAACACAGAAAAATGAAAATTACAATTTCATGTTTAACTGAGAGAAACTTAATATCGTAACACTTTGTTTTGCAATACTAGTGATAACATAAGTCGCACTAAAAACTAGGGATTTAAAAGCCCTTTCCTTAGCTTTTTTGCATAGATAACTTCCGGTTTTGTTTTTCTTTGTAGGGCATATAATCAAAATATGTTTATTGAAACCTGTGAGCCAGGATAAGTGCATGTACGCAAGCGCAGACCATACGATTTTCATGAATACCCAACACGCTGTTCCGAATTGGTGGCAATTTGCACTAATGTCGAGCGGTCGCACCTATATTAAGGAAAAATTTGCGACCCATCTGCGAGTAGATACATAGCAAAAACTTCCACTATAGGCCCTCAGAGAAACTCTTCGTAACTATGAAGGGTTGCTAAGTTTGGGAAACCCTGTGCCAAACACTAGTCAAGTCAGAATAAATATGGGTTGGCAATGGTATAAATTCAATTCCATTTCATTTTCTAGGTATTGCAGCGATGCGTCAAATGCAAGAAGACATGCAGAAGAAATTGAAAACAGAACAAGATCAGAAAAGAAAGCTCGAATCTGAATTGAGTAAAGATCAAGCAAAAATAAAGGTTTGTACCATGGATTTCGTATTTTTCGTTCGTATTTTAACATCCCCAGTGTCGAAACCAAAATTCTGAATTCCCAGACGCTAGAGTTAAAATTTCTGATTTTCAACAGTGATGTAATAGGTGAAAATTTTATATGAAAACTCAATTTTTTGTAACCTGGATTGGAGCGAGAATTTTTTGTGAAATCTGACAAAAAAAAATTTCTCCCGAGTCTATGGCTCTCGCTTGTCACATGCATATAGATAGGCCTATTACTTATTGATCTCGATCTGTAAGTATGTTGATAGGTATTTGTTTGTCTGTATGTCTGTTAGATATCTCACGAAAGCGAGGTTGCATCTGCTCCAAAATTTGCATGTGCATTCATCATATCTCGGACCAGAAGCCTATTGATTTTGGATAATTTATGTCATATAAGTAGCGAGTTATTAATTAATTAGTGAAAAGACATGCGGTGTCGCTATTGAGTCAGAGAGAAGGGTACACGCCGCTAGATCGATAAGTCGGCGGTCTCTGATCGCTTTCTCGGTTAATTAATTGGTTGCAAAATCACTTCTTTTTAAGGATCTTGAAGTGAAAAACAAGAATCAGGAAAAAATTTTGAAGCGGAAAACTCAAGAAGTTGCTGCTATACAGAAGAGATTGAGAAGTGGTGAGTTAAGTTTTGAATGAAACATGTTCTATGGTTCTATCACGCTCCTCACTTTCTATGGTTCAACTTGGCTACTAAAATTAAATGCAGGCTGGATATATTATAAGCCCAATCCTTATCTGAATGGTCCCCTCCATAAAGGACCATTCGGCTGTCATATAGACAGCTGGTTAGGTATATGGACAGACATATTGGTCCGAAATTTGGGCCTGGTCGGGCCAGAAATATCAATCACTACTTTCGGGTCGGGTTGGGCTTCTCTATCGCTGCCTTTTTTTAATGAGATGTTTTGGCCTCGAGAGACTGTGTTCTGCAAAAAAACAGAATTTGCCTCATCAACACGACACATACTGTACTCTTGCAATGAATATTCAAAAAACTCCTAAATGGAATGTGAAATTCGGGTTAGCTTCGGGCTCGGGCCTGCGAATCCAGTTAATTAGTCGGGGTCGGATTTAATACCCACGGGCCTGGGTTGGGCCAAGCTTGAATTTTTGGGCCTGATCTTACCTCTAGTCTAATACTTGTTGCCATTGTAATATTTTGAAAAAATCTCATCTCCTTGTCATTTTCAGCAAAATCTATCTCACCTGAGGAGCCAGATGACATCGATGAGCAACGTCGTTGGTTAGATGAGGAGGTAGAAAAAGCACTCGATCAACAAAAACTACTCAAACAACTTGAGGATGCACTCAGAGCACGAGAGGCTGCAGTAATCAGAAGAGAAGAAGCAATCCAAAGGAGAACAGCTTTGGAAACTAAGAAAATGAGATCAAGTCAGGTAAGTTGAACCCTAAAGCAGTGCTTCCCATCCTTTTTGAGTTCGCAACCTCTTTTATTGCCATTTTTTAGTGCGACTCACAATGAGTTGGTAAAATATGAGAAAAGAAATGATGTATCCACATGCAATTTACTATTAATTCGAAACTTGATCTTGCATATTGGGTATTATCAGATCAAGTCTGATAATGACACATAGTTCTTATTGTTACATTGTTTCGTGATGATAATGACACAATTTCCCGGCCTCATTGAACCCCCCCTTTTAAAAATCCTGGCTGCGACCCTGCTTGCATTATATACATATAGTTCTACCAGCACGAATCATAAAACAAGTATAAGCAGTTGTTCTCACAGATATACATTTAATACAAACTGTTACATTTTCCTTTGCTTTGCATAAGTTTCTGAATTGTTAATACTTATAGGTCATCTCATCTGAGGCATTACAACTTGCTTCTAAAATGGCTTCAGTCGATCAGAAATTATCTGCAAGGACTCAGCAACTGAGAGATAGTCTTACCTTGACCTCTGACCGGGGTCATCAAGGGTCATCGGCAAATAGACAACATCAACTGAAAAGTGCGATAGAAAGACTGCAATCTGAGAAAATACAACTTGAAGAAAAACGGAGAAGATTGGAAGAGAAGTTACAAGATGGGGATGTCTTGGATACTCAGGTGATCATCTTTTTTATGAATTTTTACATGAACCAGGGTCCATGTGATAACTTGGTACTCCTAAAGTATGTGAACCAAGATGGCGGACACGGGAACATAGTATGTGTACCAGGTTAGGGTTAGGCCATAACTTCAGGTACAATTACTACGTGAGTCACTTGGCTAGTCCCCGAACTCGTAATGGAACTAAAATTGGAATAAAATCATGGCCTGACCCTAACCTGGTACACATACTGCATTCCGGTGTTCGTCATCTTGGTTCACATACTTCGGGAGTACCAAAACTTGTTGATCGGCGCATCGTGCAAAGCATTAGGCTTCATCAGCTTCAAGAGAAAGAACATACTCCTTTCGTCAAACCGACTACAAAAACATGCTATATACAAAATAAGAATTTCAGTTCTTGGTTAATGACTGGGTAATAACTAATAATGATATAACTGTAAATGTCATCAGAGTCGGTTACCACCTCAAGTCCATACATCTGAAAGAAGTAACTGGTGCCATACTCGACATGAACCGGTAACTAGTTGAGAGGCCATCATATAGTTATACCATCTCATTGGCTTCCCTTTCCACTGAGATAAATATGATATCCCTATTCTAAATTTTGACATGATGTATCAAGGATAAAAGACCCAATGTTACTTTTAATTATAAACTCATTTTGCCAAACTTTTGTTTCTATATAGGATGAGAGAGAACTTATTGAGCTTGATGAGGCTGTAGAAGCACTGACTGCTGCCATCGAGTGGCAGGACGATACGATTATGCGGACAAGTACATCAAAAGATTTGAGAGAAAGCAGATTGAAATTGGCGAGAGAGAGGAACTCTGGACTCCAGAAATATATTAAAAGTTTGTCTGGAACTGAAGCAGGAATGCTGCTCACGAAGTGTTTTGAGCGGGTAAGATTAGACTTATGGTTAGAGTTACATAAGATTAGATGCCGCCCTTGAAACATGCCAGTGGTTTCTTTTATGGCACATTCATCTGTTGACTAATCGTCTTTTTACTTACATTGGCAGTGCTCTATATATTTCTTGAAAATGTTTTTTAATTTTCAATTATTGCAATCATAACTGTCCAAGAGGAATTGAATACTACAATGGATTCAATCTTCTATATATTCAAAACATAAAAATCTCTTTGAATGCACGATTTCGAATCAACCTCATACATCAGTGTCAGCCTTCATTGTTTCAGTGTTGTCTCAAAAATGAGGTACATTGGCTCACTTGTGTCTCTGAAATGAGGTACACGTGTCTGGAATTTGAGTCATGTGACGCACAACATTTTTGGGACACTCTTTGCTCATTTACCTTTATTCATCGTAGAACAGTCATTTAAATACTTGAAATTTCCTAGGTTATAGATCTTCGTGAATATGAACAAACTCTTGAAAGCAAGCTGACTGATATGGAAGCCAGATTGAATAATAAAGACAGGGCTGTTTTGGAAGCCGAGACTGCACTGAACAGGTCAGTTATATTGTTTTTAGTCTTTGAAGCATGCGGGCAGGTGCATTTTTCTAGCCCAGTGCATAAATACAAGCTCAGACACAAAAATTTCCTTTCTTGAAGATTTCGGATACAGTGAAACTCTATAAAAACAAATAGCAATGGGCAACTGTGACATTAAAACTGATCGGAAGGCCAAGACAATCCAATAGAATAATAATATTTCTGGTTTAAATAGGGTGTCTTTAAGGAAAATGTCATCTCGGGTATAATCACACGCAAACATAACTTTGAGTGAAAATTTTTTGTTTTCAAAACAAAGATGTGCGTATTATGCATTGACATAGAAAATATTTAGCCTCATTTTATGCTTAACTGGCTAATAATTCTCACATATATTAATCTTGAGTGTCTTAATTTCATTTAGCAAAGTCTGTTAGAATCAGATCATGCTTGTTTCGGTAAAAGCACATCCAGTCCAACAAAAACTTAGCTTTAATAAAGGTAGCTAAAGTCCCAAACAATTGTGTGCGTATTATGTAGGGAGAAAGATGGTAATTAGAAATTTATGTGTTAATTGTGTGTATGCAAGTATATTTATGTCCAAGATCAACCTTAACAGACTTTCCTTTCATATTTTTAACATCTTTCTTGATTTAATAGATATGTCGTTGAAAGCGACAGACGCCTTATGGAAATGGAAAAACAACACGAAAAGAGGACGCAACAACTTATCAAACAATTATCAGGTAAATTTGAATCGTAGTAGTGCCTTTCATAAAAGAATCAACAGCCCCCCCATTTTATCATTTCAGTGGTATTTATAGTGTTATTTTGTTTGGTTCATTTCAAATCCCATTATGTTCGAGCAATTCATGCTCAACAAAGTGAAAACACCCTGTGAAATAACCCTTTCAAACAATGATACTAGAAGGAACATGGAGTTTTTTGTAAATGAAAAAGTGAAATTAGTTTTGCCTTGAGAATTGTAGCCCTCTCCAACTGCTCTGTGGCTCACTTGGGGAGCCACAAGCCCCCAGTTGGAAACACTGGCTTAGAACATACAGTAGATTGTATAAAGAATATGTTAAAGGAAACTGGGGACCAGAAACCTTGAACAACCCTCTGAATATTTCGAAAGAAACTTTCCATTTCAGCACTGCCTACCCAATTTGTCACATGGGTGGGCATATGGTTGAAACTCACGATGGGAATTTTGTCTTTGCGTTGCATATTAAATACAGATTATCAATTTAGATCCAGATAAACCAAGCAATCCTGCTACTAATGATGATGTGTTAGAACTTCAATCAAAGATTCAAGTTTTGGAGAAAGATTTGGCCCATTATAGGACAACAAATAGGTAAGTTCCCATATTGGACACAAAGTTCAGTTTCAGATATTTATTTTTCATCATGCAAGAATTGATGTATGAATTGATTAATATGTAAATAATGGCATGAAAATAACAATGAGATGATATATAATACGAAAAAAACGTACATGTGGTCCATAGCAGTTGATATGGGTTGCGAAGGACTATAAAGGTCATCGGATCAGCGACATTTACCCTTAGATAAATGTGGACGTCCAACTCAGCTTGCAATATGGTGCTCCAGTCACTTAGACGTTACCGTATTTGTGCCGTAGTTGTCATGGTTATCTGCCAGTCAGCGTTCGGAGTCGTTTGCTTAGTGAGTCCGGAAATATCCGGTCTTTTTAAACATATTTCTGCCAATGTTAGTATTTTGGTGTCCGACTCCTCACTTTAGTACTATATTTAGTTTGATTTTTGTTCTTGTATAACCCAATGTTAGATTATTCATAGGTGTCATTGCTCGATAACCAATGCTGGTTTATCGCGTCCCCTTTCACCCTGAAATGCATTATTTTCCTCTCTTTTCTTATCTCGTTCTGTATGTACAGTGTGTATTTCTTGGTGATAAAATAAATTACTGATTACTGACGGGGAAGTGCTTGTGTGGAAGTATCTAATGCGACTATCACATATGAATCAGACTGTCTATAACAGTGATTCCCAAACTTTTATGGCTTATGAACCCCTTCCGCAGGCTTTTAGCACTCATGGTCCCCTGTTTATCATTCCAGTGAGTGGTATTATGTCAGTAGAATCCAAATCCCATTATGTTCAACAATTCATGATTAATAAAAGTGAAAACATCCTGTGAAATTTTCTTCTCGAGCAATGAACCTATGAAGAACCAGGGACAAGTAAAATCAGCTCTGCACCTAGCATTGTGGCCCCTCTCCAACCGGTCTGTGGCCCCCCTTTAAAAAACTGCTGGTCTATAAATAAAAAGATTCGATAATGCGTTCTGACTCGTATTTCTTATCACTGACTGCTCTTATATTTTTCTTTGATCTGATTGAAGTTGTGAAAAACAAAACAATTACATACTGCTTATTCTTGTATATAAACCGAGTATAAAACTAATTTTTTTTGTCAAACTAAGGGGGCGGCTTATACGTGCACAAATGGTTGTCATGCTTGGCTCTGTCAGTGGATGGGTCAGTCAGTACAGGATGAATTTGACGGATTTTAAGACACATCTCACTGATAAAAATGAAAATAAAACAATAATATTTATCATTTTCATTAATTCTCTTCTACAACCATTTGCTGTGATAGGTGGGTGCGGCATGCTACGACTTGTAGGGTCGACTTATAGGCGAGGATATACTATAAATATATTTCAATAAATACACAATCATCATTGGAGGCTGTAACAGCTTGTTAATAATTTACTCTATTTTTTATCATTAAAGAGATCTGAAGAAAAAACTCAGAGAGGTTCTAGCAGATGCTGAAATAGGAGATGACATTGTCTTTTCTGCCAGAAGTAATTCTGAATCTGAGATGAGAAGTGCAAGAAAAGATAGAGATGGTGAGTGGTGTGACCTGAGATAACATATTTTGACAATAAATTTCACTTTATAATTTTTTTTATTTATTTATTCCCGTAGCAGCTCATTCTCCTGACAGTGCAGTGGCGAGTACAGCATCAATATCTGGTAAAAGCAGTAAACACCATCCAAGCAAAAGTATAGAAAACGAGAACGAAAAACAAAGATTTGGGAGTCCTAAACGACAAAAACGTGCTGTCACACGTCAGTCGAGTGGAGACATGGTTTTAAAAGATCCCCGGCCCTTGTCAGCAGATCTTAACAGCGTTCCACTAAGCCCAACGAAGCTATCTTCCAACCCAAACTTGGGGCCGCTACGCAGGTCTCGTCAAGAGCCCCACCCAGGTCATATTCACCCATCTATCCCCACAAATTCAGTTGAATATCTCGAATACCAGGATCTGAATCAAAATTTACCCTCTTCTAGATCGGGGTCAGGGGGTCGAAGGTTAAGCCCCAACCATTCCCAAGATCCTCTCTTATTGGCCAGCCACCCTTCCACAAACCCCACAACGTCGCACAACCTGATTACTGCATCTTTGAGTGTTACTGATAGCATGACCTTGGGGTCAACGGGTTCAAAGTTCAACCCTAATCCCATGCAAGCTTTCTCAGAGAAAATAGGCGACGGCCCCTCAAAGCCCCCTAAAATGGACCCAACAATAACCCCAGTTCGTATTTCAAAGAAAGATTTGAAACGTCTTCCGAAGACCGAAATCACACAGCGTAAAACGAGCTTATCCAGCATTGGGGATTATCCTCAAGGTGGTGCTAAGCAGTCTGGAATCCACGCAGCGGGACCTGGTCCGTTACAAGATTCATTGGAAGGATTCAAAAACCCTTGGTAGATTGGAATCAACAACTCTACCCAACAAAAATTAAAGACAAAACTGAATAATTAGCCATACAAATAGACTATGACAAGGGTGAATGGCACATAAAATATAAATATATATCACTTTCACTCCAATGAGCAACAATTTCAAGAAAGTCCCTGTTGTTGCTTTGCCTGATTTGTTATCCCCTGGGTGAAATGATGGCCAGGATGTTGGAATCCTTGATCTTTGACCTTTATCGGTACAGTTAGGTCTAACGTATATTTTCCACACTAGGAAGTTTGTTTTGACTTGTCGTACACACCATATAGTCTCTTTTCGATTTCTGTCTGATTTTAAATTCCACCATTAAAACTCCCAGCTCATGGAAGTTTGAAAATATGGTTCTGACTCCAATATTAATGGAAACTTGCCACCAAACTCTGTCTCCGAAGTCTGATATGAGTCGGGCAGTAAAAATGAAATTCCAAATTCGTAACCTATTGTTCAAATGCTTAAATGTGGACAAATAAAGCTTGCTTTATACTCATATTTTTGTTTACTAGGAAGAAACTGTTAGCATAGTGCTATATCACCATTTTGCCTGTAGCCTTTTATATTTTTTAACGTGTTTTATGTCCACTGTGTAATTAGTGCTATGTTTTTAATGGTCTTATAAAATAATCCGACTTTTAAAATCGTGATACACAATTGAACCTGAACCCGTTTTCGTTGTCGTCGTAGGCTTAAATAAAAAGTAAGACGTTTTTTTTTTCAATTACAGATTGGATAGTTTTGTTATTTGTTCAAACAGAAATTTAAATGCACGAGCATTCAATACCCTTTTTGTATAATGAATTTGTAATGTTAATTTGAGTCGGACTTCTCCTAACCCTCTGAAAACCCCTGTATTCGTTGTTGTAGTGAGTTTAAATAAGAAACGTGTTCCACAGATCTGGTAATTTTGCAATTTTTTAGGGTGGTCACCTTTCATATATTCACTAATATAATTACCAACATTGAATATATTGAATTTTGTAACATCGAGATTTTAAAGAATCTAAATTCGTTGTTGTAGTGGGTTAAATGGGTAAATTTTTTTTCAATTCGGCGACATTTTGGTAATTTTGTAGGTCTGAATGTAGGTTTTAATGTATTTTACATTCTTTGTCACATTAAATGTTCACCAGAGTCAAAAAACACTTTCAAAAAAATATTTCAATACGTTGTTAAAGAAAAACGTCTTCTGTTAAAGAATTGGTTAATTTTTTAGTTCAAAATTGAACGAATTTCACACCCTTCCATATATTTTGTAATTTTAATATGTATGTGATTCAAGCCTCATTCAAAATTCATTTGAGTAATAATACACAATTGTAGTTAAACCCAAATTCATTGTTGTGCCAGTTTAAATAAAACAAAAACGTTTTTACTCATTTTTAATTCACTAAATACTTTCGACTGAGATTGTATCATTTCGCAGACTCAATATTGTGATTCTGATTTCTTCAACCCAGACTCTTTTCAATTATGATTAGCGATAACATAATGTGAAGCCTCTGTTTAGTGTTTGGATCCTTCGTGTTAACACTCACTGCATGAGAATATAAAAAATGTTTGAACACTTTGAATGGGTCGATGTCCCTTGCGGAAAACCTAAAGTAGGCATGAATGAAATCAAATTTACGTACGTGCAAGCGCCATTTCAATCAACTTCTTGCAAAAGGAATAAGGAATGTGCTGTTCTAATCGACCAATATACGCTAAATGTACCATATTTGTGTTGATTTTTGTAGGGGCTTTTTCATTGTTCCAGAATTTGTCTATTAAAATAAACTAAACCAGTAATCGTCAATGTATGCCTAGTTAATGTCATTCCCTTGTTTCTTCAGCTTATAGTTTCATATAGACGTTGTTTTTTATTGTTTGTAATAATTGTACAATTTTATAATACATATATTTTTTACAGTGTCTATAGTGTCTGACTAATAAACCATACAGGGGTGGGCAATTACTTTTCTGAGTGGGCCAGTTACAAATAATCGACTTGGTTACTGGGCTGGAGGCTCAAAACCAAGGCTGCCCAACCCGCGGGCCGCATGCGGCCCACCAGACTGTTTTTTGAGGCCCGCCCATAAAGTTTTAAGCAGACTTATGTTTTTACTATGTTATATATAAAATTTAGGGGATAAATTATGTTTCGTGATTTTGGTGTAAATATTCCTGTCATCTATCTACATTCAAATGCCAGTTCTTGTTATTACGTATGTGTCAAGGCTTGCACCCTGGTGGACATCGATGTTCAATTTCTTTTTATTTCTTACAAAACTGAACGTTCTGTTCGACGAACTCGAAAGATATTGTGCGATCACTGAGGACGAACGCTGAGCGCAATTATAGGAATGAATTTGGAGTCTAAATTTGCAAACTAATTTCATTTTGATTGTTTTCTTACGTGTCGGCTTTGATCGTATATATGGACAACGTAAAATAAAAGTCAACACTATCTTTGGTACTGGTCCCCGGACTCGTTGTCCTCTTATGTTTGTTTGTTTTTATTTAATTTTTGGGTTAAATAGGATTTCGGAAATGTCGTCACTGCGTATCCATCAATGATTCTGATGAAATTGAAATGGCATTGCTGCATATTGGTCACAAATCAGTATATATATCGACTATTCGTTCAGTAATGTTACTTCATTAAATACTTGTGGAGGTGTTTCAAATTTTACGAAACGGCCCACTTGAATTTGATATTCCCGCGACTTGCCGCACATTATGCTCATTTAAAAACATTGTTAGTATCATAGCTACTGAAAAATCAATAATAAAAACACTATAACGCAAATATAACAATCAATTTCGACGTGATGTGTATGTTCTGGTGTGGTCGCCAAAAACGTATGTGTCATGTCCACGCCCCGTGTTACCAGATATTCGAATAGTTAACTGCTATTCTAATATTCGACTTGGTATTCGAATAATTTGCCAGCCCTACTCAGTAACCAGAGAGCAATTATTAACTTGAATAATTTTATGTAAACTTGCCTTTTACCTATTATATAAATTACATACACCGAAATCAGGACTTAGCTGGTATTAATGTTTGGTACAAACGTTTGAGGCCCGCAACGAATTTTGTCACGTGAAAGTGGCCCGCGAGACGAAAAAGGTTGGGCAGGCCTGCTCAAAACTCTATATGAAAAACTAAGAATAAAACATTTTATTTTCAACAGGTAGGCTAACGTTTCATATTAATAAGCACAATGTAGCAATCAATTATAACGTTATTATCGTCTCTATTTCGAACGAAATTCATTTTCATAAAAACTATAGTCGTTAATTAAGCAGACGCTATTGGGCCGAAAAAAACTGTTTGATGGACCGGATCGGCCCCGGGGGGTGTAATTTGCAAAACACAACCCTGGCAGCTATTCAAGGGAATAAATAGTCTTTGTCAGTGTAAGGTGGTGTGTATACACGCACAACTATATTGCTATTGCATACTTTATTCACATTCGAAACAGAACACATTCCAGATAAATAAACTTAAAACAACTAATGCACACAGTACCAACTCATAACAGCTAATGTCACACAGTACACGTGATAAGTACAGAACTTAGAAGTAACATTTAGACATGAACGTACACGGGTCAAAAGTCACTATATTACAGTCAGGACTTTTTAACTGGTGGTAAGGTGAGATTCGCGGGACAACTTGCTAACCAATCACTCACCCGCAATGAACTGACGGACGAGAGGCCGTGGTCCGCCATATGGTTAAGCCGTCTTATTGACTTTCACTCCTCCGGGATTAATATAAAAACCCTATCTTGTCGCCTAGCAATAAATGTGGTATTGTAACGTCACCATGTATCAATAACGATGATATGCATTGTTAAGTCATAAATGTTTGCGTCATTGTGACGAATATGACCAACAGGGAAGGCTTCACCTTGAGCGAGCGAGTTTTCCGTCTAGGTTGGTCTGGTGTTCGTAAAAATAATGCAAAACCTACTTCGTAAATTGGAGAGACAGGAAAATTGTACATTTTTCACAATGGAACTATGCATGAAAAGCAGACAAACGACTTCATCCTTTACCCGTTGCAATGAAGGGGCCAGAGTACTGGTAGGACAACTTCTTGTTTTCTGATCAATGTTCGCTCAAGAACTAAGCAGCCAGGTTAGTTACTTATATACTAACGACTAGACTTATAGTGTTGAATATTACAGTAATCTAATAGAGTTGCAACCAACTGGGAATCGCGCAAACCCGTTCTTGTTTTGGACATTAAACGGTCGCAGAAAATGGAGAACGTCAATCGCAGTTGAGTTAAGTATTAGACCTATGTGAAGCATGTCATGTTGACGCAGCTTACATGGTGACATTCATTTTATAAATTGAGAGAACCTGCTGTTGTTCGATAAATAGAAAATCTGTTTTTAGAATTCGAAATCCCGTCGCTAATTGCAACCTATCTTGTGGGCAGGTGCGTGTGGAACTTTTTTGTTGCCCGAGCGAGTTTCTGATAATGATACCTCTCCTTAGTGGTAACGCTTTCACCCTTTCGGAACTCGGAAGCGACTGCGGATCTTTTTGATACAATGTGGTCAAGCAAATCAGGAAATTATTTAGAGCTGAGAGAACGGGAACTACGATATTATATAGGAAGTTTAAACACGTAATAAGACAATGATGAATCTTTACTTCACAATTGCACGATTCAACAATGGCTAGGATAACAAAGAACAGTTCAGAAACAAGTGAGCAATAACAACAAAACAATCCATAGGTCTGCTTCATTGCCCGACACTCCCCCCCCCCCCCCCCCCCCCCCCCCCCCCCCCCCCCCCCCCCCCCACACACCCTTTATGAATGAATAGTTCAAACTCGATACTTTTAATATCTTGAAATTAGGCTTGCACGTAATTGACAAAAATCAATTCCGTAATTACGGCAAAATCAATTACGTAATGACCCCGTAATTGCGATATTTTTCCACGCATTTAAACCTATCATAACAACCAATTGAATCCACTTCTTTTCCGAATGGGACATTGAAGTTGGGTTTTCATATTCTTGGCAGTACTACACGCCGGCGGCAGATGTTAAAGACAAATATCAAGGAGTGATTTCAAATTAGTTTTATTCTGATTTTTATCTTTTGTGTTAGCTTTGGTTTTCCTTTATCACCTTCGCAAATTAACCGTCCCATTTTTATGCGATCAATTTTATCATTACCGACACTGGTATACGGATATTTATGGAAACGATAGTTTTTTAAAATCGACTTTCGTACTGAATAAAAATTACGAGTTTCTAATTTACTAACCAACGACGAGCGTATTCTCTCGTTTGATTATACTTGCGATTTCCTCGCGACGAAGACTTGTTTTTGCAGCGTTTTCTGCATTATCCGACATTAATGCCTTGTTAGCATTTTATAATAATAATTATTGATGTCGACTTATTGACGATATTCCGATTACCATGCTTCATTTTACATTTAATCATTTCGCGGACTGAATGTTTATAACATTATTTGCGATAAATTTAGATCAAATATTATTTATTTGCGTATTATTTAAATACCGAACTTATATGATATGCCTTCTCCGAAAATACAAAGTTATATCGCAAAACAATGCATTTTGTGACATTTATTTTACACTCACGACATTTATTTGCTAACTCAAGTCGGCGATCCAATCTGCCAAGATTGACACAAGTTTGGTCGAGTGCCGGTGGTATTCAAGTCGACGATAAATTAAAATAAGTTGCCGCATTTGGTAAGATAGTTAATCATATATGGCCGAAATATTGCGAGGAATTGTGAAAAACATCATGAGCAAGGCCAAGTCCGGACTGATATATAACGATAAAACCCTTAACAGAACATCAAGATTTTGTAATAGAAAATGGATCTCGCACAGAATAAACACACTGGCTCATATTTGATTATATATGATAGCAGTTAAATTTTTAGCGGTCCGCGAGGAATCCGTCGTTTTGTAGTTTCTCTGCCGTCTCAATCGCTTTACCGATGCCGAAAAGACGAAGTTGCGTTGGTTCATTACGCAATCTCTCTTTTTTCGTCATATTGCTATTTGATAAGCGCGACATTAATTATCACGGCGAGGTATTGGCGCGAGTGATCAATCGCTCTTTTCGCTTATTTGGTTCCAGTTCGTCGCGAAAGCTCTTCGTTAAATTTCACAAGATCGTCGTGTTGAAAGGTTATGGATATTTTCTGTTTATACCCCAAGTCTGAAATAAAACAGCCAAAAAACAGTATGATATTCCATGTTCATATATCAAGTGTTGATATTAACAATAAAGAATGGTTAAGCATTGCTAATCCACACTTGGTGGGGAATTCCCACTATTTAAACGCGTGACTATAAAATAGAAACGGAACATATATACCTTAAGTAACGGAAAACCGGAACAAGTAAATAATAAATAAAAGTAAAATGGATACAAATGTTTGATAGACCATGTTTGATAGATTGATCTCGTGCGTTCATTAGTCATTTCACCCAAAGAAGTTGAAACCGGGCGTGTTAGCGTCCATCGGTCTTAACACAATTCTTCTCCCTATCTAAGGTTATTATGTACATTGGCCACGGCCATGCTAGATAAGATGCGAGAGAAGTTGAAACCAGGTGTGTTGGCGTCAATCGGTCTCAACGCAATTTTATCCCTTATCTAAGGTTAAGTTGCGGGAGAAGTTAAAACCAGGAGTGTTGGCATCAAACGGCCCTCTTCTTCCCCCTTGACTACGTTAATAATTTACATTGGCCATGCCAGATAAGTTGATAATAGGTTAGTAAATGGCAACGTGTCATGCCTTCCTTCACCTACGTAACAAGAGAGAGAAAAGGGAGAAAAACGGCTGCGAATACCGGAACTCTAACCTCTTCTACTTGTTGAGCTTTCATTTTTCGCAATCGACGAAATTGACTGC